AGAGAGGAAGACTGGCAACAGATGTTAGCACAGGGCCAATCTTCCTCAATAGAACATCCAAGAACTGTGGATATAACTGAAATAACAAAAGGAGAAAAAAGAAGAGAATAAGAGCTTAAGAAATATTTGAAGTAATAATGGCCTAGAACTTTACAAAATTAATGTACAATATCTAATTTTTAATTTTTTTAATTTTTAATTTTTATTTTTTTACCCCCAAAGCCCCAGTAGATAGTCGTACGTCATAGTTGCACATCCTTCTAGTTGCTGTATGTGGGACGTGGCCTCAGCATGGCCGGAGAAGCGGTGCATCGGTGTGCGCCCGGGATCTGAACCCGGGCCGCCAGCAGCGGAGCGCGCGCACTTAACCACTAAGCCACAGGGCCGGCCCAGTGTACAGTATCTAAATGCAGAGAACTGCAAAACAGTGATGAAAGAAATCAAAGGATCTAGATAAATGGAGAAATATCCCACATTCATAGATTAAAACACTCAATAATGTTAAGATGCCAACTCTTACACTTGATCTATATATTCAATGCAAACCCAATTAATATCCTAGAGAGCCATTTTATAGATATTGACGAACTGATTCTAAATTTTACATGGAAAGACAAAAGACCCACAAGACAGCATGGTTTGGCAAAAGAATAAACCAAACAGATCAATGGAGCAGAATAGAGAGCCCAGAAATAGGCCCACACAAATACAGACAAATGATCTTTGACAAAAAAGCAAAAACAATAGAGAAAGGGCCATCTTTCAACACGTGATGTTAGAACAATTTTAGGATGTCCATATGCAAATGAAGTGAACCTAGATACAGACTTTACATCTTTCACAAAAATTAACTCAACATAGATCACTGACCTTAAGCATAAAATGCAAAACTATACAACTTCTAGAATAAAACATAGGAGAAAAATATGTGCCCTTGGGTTTGGTGACGAGCTTTCAAATACAACACGAAAAACACAATCCCTGAAAGAAAACTTTGGTAAGCTGACCTTTATCAAAATTTAAAATTTCTGCTCTGGAAAAGACACTGTTAAAAGAATGAAAAGAGAAGACACAGACTGGGAGAATACACCTGCAAAACACACATCTGATAGGAACATGTATCCAAAATATACAAAGAATTCTTAAAACTTAACAATAAGTGAACAACTGAAAAATGAGCAACAGATCTAAACAGACACCTCACCAAAGAAGATATACGGATGGCAAATCACAATATGAAAAGATGCTCCAGATCATCTGTCATTAGAGAATTGCAAATTAAAACAATGAAATACCACTACACACCTATTATAATGGCTAAAATACAAAAATCTGACAATACCAAATGCTGACAAGGATGTGGAGCAATAGAAACTTTCACTGATTGCGATGGAAATGCAAAATGATCTAGTCATTTTGGAAGAGAGTTTGACACTTTCTTATAAGGCTAAATATAGTTTTACTCCATGATTCAGCAATTGTCCTCCTAGGTATTTACTGAACTGATCTGAAAACTTATGTCCACACAAAAACCAGCACATGAAAGTTTATAGTAGCTTTATTCATAATTGCCAAAAACTGGAAGCAACCAAGATGTCCTTCAATAGGTGCATGGATAAACACACTGTGATACATCCATATGATAGAACATTATTCAATGATAAGAAAAAATGAGCTATCAAGGAACAAAAAGACATGGATGAACATTAAATGCACATTGCTAACTGAAAGAAGCCAGGCTTAAAAGGCTATATACCATATGATTTCAATTAAATGACATTATGGAAAAGGCAAATATTACCTATGCCAGGTGATCAAAGTCAAAATCAACACCAATAAATCATATTGATAATATGTATCCACGAGACCCTGGATATATATGTACCCTAAAATGGCACTTTACCTCCGTGATCTTTCTCTCAGAAACATATTACCCAGTCTAGTCATGAGAAAAATATCAGACAAATCCCAATTGAGAGACATTCTACAAAATACCTGATCAGTATTCCTCAAAACTGTCAAGGTCATCAAAAACAAGGAAAGTCTGAGACTGTCATAGCCAAGAGAAGCCTAAGGAGACATGACAACTAAATGTAATGTGGTGTCCTGGATGGGATCCTGGAACAGAAAAAGGACATTAAGGACAAGCTAAGGAAATCTGAATCAAGTATGGACTTTAGCTAAAAATTATGTATCAATATTGATTAATGGGAACAAATGTACCACACTAATGTAAGATGTTAATAACACAGGAAATTAGGTCTGAGATATATAGAAACTCTGTACTATCTGTGTACATTTTCTGTAAATCTAAAACTGTTCTAAAATACAAAGTTTAGTCTAAAATCTCAAAGCAACTTTGAGAAAGAATAAAGTTGGAGGACTGACACTACCTAATCTGAAGACTCAAAAAAAACAGAGTATTGAGGAGTATTGTATTGGCATCAAGATACATAAATAGATTCACTGAACAAAATAGATAATCAAGAAATAGACCTACACTCATATGGACAACTGACTTTCTACAAAGGTCCAAAACAATTCAGTGTAGAAAGGATAGTTTTTCAACAAATGGTGCTGGAACAATTGGATATCCATATGCAAAAAAAGTGAACTTTGATCTATATACAAAAATTGTACTATATACAAAAATTAACTTGAAATGGATCATAGATTTAAATATAGAAACTAAAACTATAAAACTGCTAGAAGAAAACATGTGAGAAAAATCTCAGTGACTTTAGGCTTGACAAGGATTTCTTTAAAAGAACACAAAAAGCTGGATATAAATTTTTTAAAAAATCAATAAATTTCACTTAATCAAAATCAAAAACATTTTCTCTTTAAAAGACAATGTTAAGAAAATAAAAAGGAAAGTCACAGACTGGGAGAAAATATTTGCAAAACTTATACCTGACAAAGGATTTATATCTAGAATACAGAAAGGACTTTTATGACCTAATATAAACAACTCAATAATAAGTGTGAAAAAGATTTGAACAGACACTAAGAAGATATATGTAGGGCACATAAGCATATGAACAGATGCTTGAAATCAGTTAGTCAATAGGGAAGGCAAATTAAAACCATAATACATACCTATTAGAATGGCTAAAATTAAAAGATATTGCATACCAAGTGTTGGTGAGGATATGTAACAACTGGAACACTCATATACTGCTGGTGCAAATGTAAAATAAAATAGTATAACCACTTTGCAAAATAGTTTAATGGTTTCTTCAAAAGTTAAAAATATATCCATTATATGACTCAGTCATTCTACTCTTAGGTATTTATTCAAGAGAAATAAAAGCATGTGTTCATACAAAGACTCAAATAAGAATGTTCATAACAGTTTTGTTTGTTATAGCCCCAAACTGGAAACAACTGAAATGTCTAGCCATATATTCATATGATGGAATACTACTCAGCAATAGAAAGGAATAAACTATTGATTATATGTGACAACATGGACAAATCTCAAAATAATGATGCTGAGTGAAAAGAGGCTGACAAAAGAATATACACTGTAGGATTTCATTTATGTAACATTTTAGAAAATCCAAACAAATCTTTGACAGAAAGCAAATCAGTTGCCTGGGGTTTGGCAAGGCAGGGGAGAGGTTACAGAGGGGCATGAGGAAACTTTTGGGATTGATGGATAGGGCCACTATCTTGATTGTGGTGATGGTTTTATAGGTACATACATATGTCAAAAGCTACCAATTAAATACTTTAAATATGTGCAGTTTACTATATGTATGTCAATTATACTTTAATAATACTGTTAAAAGAAAACAAATGTACACAAAAAATCCTCCAAATTACTATACATCTGTTAGGATATTTTAATAACTACTAAAAAGCTTTAAAGAACTTGTAATGACATAGGAAAATGCTTATGGTATACAGTTAAGTGAAACTGGTCAAATGTATAACTTAATATAAGGTGATGTCAATTACAAAGAAAGCTTATAGACACAGAGATAGAAATACTTCTGGTTAGAAACAGATCTACAGTAATGGTTTTCCCTGGGTTATGAAATCATGGGTGACTTAAATTTTCTTTACATTTTTCTCTATTTTCCAAAGTTTCTTTGTTGTTATTTTATTATTTTTATTTTACTTGAGCTTACAATATCCTTTGAAACAGGAAATTAAAAAAATAAATGAAGGGAAAGAATCTGACTGATTACCTGTCCTGACAAGTGATTCTGGTGTATGAAAGATCAAAGAAGGGACTCTGGGAACTCATGTGAACCAAGTATTATCTGTAGACTTAATAATATATTTCACACTCATATGAACTACTATTTTTCAAAAGTTCATAGACGCACTGAAATTCAACCTTAATGAATCTGTAGAACCTCTATTTTTCACATCAACTAATACTAAAGGTAAAATCACTAACATGGGAGTCTTCAGAACTTGTTTCCCTACACTTACTGCCAGTAGGTTGATATATTTGGAATTTTTTCTGCTACCATATCAGTATGTAGGAAGGGCTAAGCACATACTTGGCATTCAATTAATAGAAGTTCCATTACATGTTTCTATTTCTCTGCTATGACTTCTTATTATATTCTACACCACCTTTTTTCTAAGCTACTGTCAAACTTGTGTCTTGTGCATTCTTACACTGTTCAGATCCCAGAACATAATTTAAGTTATAAAGGTAAATTCAACAATCAAATACCAAAGTCAAATATGCTCCGTACCCAGAAGGGCTTTGTAAAAGCTAGTTCAGTTAAACATTGAGGCTTTCTGCAAATGTAAGATTAAGACTACTAGAAGTTTGATCCTTAGTTAAGTGTAGCATTACCAGTGTGTGATTGATCTTGGGGAAATCATTTAATGTATGCTGAGGTTTCTACAACTGCTTCAGAATAATCCTCTCTAAAATTCAACTCAACAAATAATTATCATTATAAAATACACTACAAAAAGCAGAGCTATTAGTTATAGTAAACTATTAGTTGTTTAAAGGTAATTTAGTTTACCTCAAAGAATTATTCTCTGCTTTTTGTCTGCCAAGTTCACTTTCAGTATCCATTGCCTTTCTTGCTAGTGATTTCATTTCTTTTTCCACAGTGGTTATGGTTTCCTTCATCAAAGTCATATTTGACATTTGCTCCATACGTTCATCATCAAGCTATACAAGCAGAATGACAAGGTTATTGCCATCACTAAAAAAGTCTTAGTAATATTCCTAAAAAGACATCTTTTCTGTGTATAAACTGTGGTATATGATAAGATTTACACAGTGAGATGATTAGATTAGACTTGAACGCTGTGGGAGGTTGTACGGACAAGGTGCTGTGGAGTTGGAACAAGGAGCCGCCACTGCATGGCTTTTCTACAAAGCCTATCACAATCTATCAACCTACATTTTCAAGCTGGTTCAACTTGACTATAGCATACAAATCCTATTTGTAAAATGATTTCTTATTTGTTGCACAACATTAACAAATCACACATATAAAGTGAGATTATGAAAAAAATTGCTTTTCTCCTATCTACTGCTTTTTTTTACTCATTATAACAAGATAATACAGATGAATTTATAAATATATTCAATCAAATTTGGTAATAGAAAGTCCAATTCCCTTAATGCTATTTATATAATCATAACATTTCAAATATATATTCATAGCATCTCTTTTTTTTTTTGTGAGGAAGATCAGCCCTGAGCTAATTAACATCCACACCAATCCTCCTCTTTTTGCTGAGGAAGACCGGCCCTAAGCTAACATCTATTGCTAATCCTCCTCCTTTTTTTTCCCCTTTTTCTCCCCAAAGCCCCAGTAAATAGTTGTATGTCATAGTTTCACACCCTTCTAGATGCTGTATGTGGGACGCTGCCTCAGCATGGCCAGACAAGCGGTGCGTCAGTGTGCGCCCGGGATCCGAACCCGGGCCGCCAGTGGCGGAGTGTGCACACTTAACCGCTAAGCCACGGGGCTGGCCGCCTATTCATAGCATCTCAAATCCTTGATTAATAAAAAGGTGATGCTTCACATTTAAATTCAGTTTAAATATATTTTTCTCATTAATTTTTATTTCTCCATAATTTTCTCTACCGTATTTACTCTTCAGGTAGTATAAGCCATTTTCTCTGTATCTGGCAACGTTATCTTTAATGAAATAGGGAGATGTGAAAGTTGCTCAAGGCCTTGAGAATGCATCCCTAATAACTCTTTAAAAAGAACACACTTTGCAACCTAACACAAAAATGACTTTACTCACATTTTTTAGAAGGAAACAAACAATGAAGAAGTGATAATTTACATGATACATATCACCTTAAATATTTTAGGGTTACAAACACTATCTTAGAAAAACAAAAGAACTTCTCTAAACACAGGAAAAGGGGAAAGGGAGAAGCCATTGACAGTTTATAGCCAAAAGTGCAAAAGCGATTTTTCTTTACGTTATGAACTGTACACTCCAGTTCCTCTATCCTTTGTTCCAAATGAGCCTTCTCATTAAATGCTGTCTCTTGGGCAATCTGTTTAAAAAACAAAAACAAAACAGTGCTTTCAATGTCACTGCATTTGTGTTTTACATATGTTCATATAGAAAAAATTCTTTCAAACCTTTAGCCTTTCCCTCAGACTATCTCGTTCTGTGGTCATTCTTCGTAAATCAGTGAAGGCTACATCTCTTTCAGTCTCCACCCGCCGGAGGATGGCATGTGCTGTTGTTGATTTAGGAGACTTACAGCTTTTCATCATTTCTCTTCGAAGTCTGGCAATTTCTTCCTGTGCCTATTATTTAAACACATAGATAGACTCCTATTTTACAAGCTTTAGACAGACATAAACATAACTATCTTATATTCAGCCAGTTAAAATGCAAACCTATATTAATATGCATGCAGCAGGGTAATGGTATAATCTTTAATAAGTTTATACAAATAAATGCAAATGATACACACAAAATGTAAATGAATGTATACAAATAGAAGTTTGGTTTACAATATCATGGCAAAAATTTAAAAAAAAATTAATTTGGGGGCCGGCCTGGTGGTGCAGCGGTTAAGTGTGTGCGCTCCGCTTCGGTGGCCCAGGGTTCGCAGGTTCAGATCCCGGGCACACACCGACACACCGCTTCTCGAGCCATGCTGTGGCAGCGTCCCATATAAAGTAGAGGAAGATGGGCAGGGATGTTAGCCCAGGGCCAATCTTCCTCAGCAAAAAAGAGGAGGATTGGCAGATGTTAGCTCAGGGCTGATCTTCCTCACCAAAAAAAAAAAAAAATTAATTTGGAGGCAGTCATTGCAAGAGAAAATGTTTTACTAAGAAATATATACAGTATACTCCATCCATTTTGCGATATAAATTTGAATTCAGCACACTGCAGGCAGAATACTGGTTTAATAAATATTGTCATAGTGTTCCAGTCTTTCTATATATGTATATGTCATTTCCATGTCCTGGCTACTTTTATACCCTGACAGAAAAGCCCGCTAATCCTTACCGACAACCCGATATACTCTCTACACACTTGTTTAACCATCCTCTGGTCCCAAATCTATTCCACACGTGCAGATGATTTCATATCCTACTTTGCTGTGTAAGTCCCTTATCTTCCTTCCTCTTGATTTTGATCGCTATCTATTCAGCTGGTCTCCAAGTCTCAGAGAAAGATATATTACTTCCCAATTTTCATAGCTAAGACTTCACCAGAATCCTGCACCTCAGCTCTTGAAGTGTCTTCTAAAATATCCATGACTCAATTAATTATTTCCTCTCATCTTGAACAGCGCCCTCTCCACTAGCTCTTTCTCCCTTGTCTTCAACCATGCACAGAGTTGCCTACTGCTTATAAAGCAAAGTATAAACAAACCCCTTATAAGGCTCACTGAACAGCCTCTACCATTTAGTCCAGAAATGGGCAAACTATAGATAGCTCACAGGCCAAATCCAGCTTGCCTCCTGTTTTTCTAGGTATGTAAGCTGAGAATGTTTTTTACATTTTTAAATGGTTGAAAAAAATCAAAAGAAGAATATTTCATGATAGGTAAAAATAATATGAAATTCAAATTTCAGTGTCCATAAATAAAGTTTTTTTTTTTTTAAAGATTTTATTTATTTATTTATTTATTTTTCCCCCCAAAGCCCCAGTAGATAGTTGTATGTCATAGCTGCACATCCTT